GAGTCCTTGGCCTTACCCTCTGAGACTCCAGACCACTGTCCTTGCAGGTGAGGTCCCAGGAATCTGTATTGTTAACAAGGTCCCTGAGTCACGCAGGCAGTTCCCAGGGCACACTGAGAAACATTGCCTTAGGGGACACCTGCACATTCATCAGCACCCCAGCTCTAGTGCCCTCCCAAAGCAGCACGAGGGACAGACCCCAGCCCTGCATCGTCGCATGCAGAAGCCACTGGCCACTGTGGCCACAGAACAGTTAGCAATGTGGCTAGTCCAAACTGGGACGTTCTCTACACATAACATAGACTGAATTTCAAAAACAGTATCCTATATAATAAAAGGCTAATATGCAAATAGACCGAATGGTGGAATGACCAGCAGAATGACCGGTTGCTATGATGCACTGACCACCAGGGGGCAGACACTCAGCGCAGGAGCTGCTCCCAGCCCGCAGGCCCCAGACCAGCTAACGTGGGTGCCAGCGGGGGGGCCCCCCGATCCCCCCACTGGTCGCCCCACAGATTGGCCCTGATTACCGGCCAGGCCTAGTGACCCTACCTGTGCACGATAAAACAGTATAATAAATCTCATTTAAAATTCTTATGTTGATCATATATTGAAATGATAATATTTTGGCTATATTGGGCTAACTAAAATACACAATATATATTATCATCCTATATAATAAAAGCCAATTATGCTAAGTGTCCAACCATTTGATTGTTCGACAAGTCGCTATGACATGCACTGACCACCAGGGACAGATGCTCTGACCATTAAGTTAGCTTGCTGCTGGGGTCTGGCCGATTGGGACTGGGTAAGATGGGCCGGACACACTCTGGAGCCCTCCTGGGGTCCCTCCCTGGCCCCAATCGTGCACTGGTGGGGTCCCTTGGCCTGGCCTGAGCTCTCTTGCAAACCAGGACCCCTCAGGGATGTCAGAGATCTGGTTTCGGCCTGATCCCTGCAGAACAGGCCAAGGGAACCCACCAGTGCATGAATCTGTGCACCGGGCCTCTAGTATATGATATATAATAAAATGTATCCCCTGATGCCTGTACCTTTTACCCACCCCACCCTAAGCTAGAATCATTTTTAATAACTAAGAGTGGTTTCAGAACAGGGGACACAAAAAGATCCCAAATATCAAAACGGAAGTAGATGGTCTAATTAGCAAAAGCCTTTTATTTCCTACCTAATGATTTTTGACAATAAATTAGCCAGGGCAAGTAATACTAGCAACTGTAACAGACAACCATGGGGGAATTAACATAATACCAAGGTATTGCTCTGCTAGTGTCACAGCCAACTGCAGGTTGGAGCAGGGGCTCTGTTCCATACAGTCTTCGGGGGACCTAGGCTCCTTCCAAATGGGGCTCCCCCATCCTCTAGGGACTCGGAGCCCTCCATCGTCCCCTGTGAATCTGGCTGGCAGACAAGACAAGAGACAGAGTACAGAAGTTTGCATGAGTGGCTTTAGGTTAAGTGGAAAGGAATTGATATATATATATAATTTTCATTTAGTTTCCATTGGCCAGCATGTGGATCCATGTAATTACAAGAGAAGCAGGGTTAAGAAGTTTAGTTGTGTGCCCAAGAGAAGGACCTGGGTTTTGTGCACCCACATCAGCCCCTTTGCCTGATCAAGGCTGAGTAAGGATGGCAGGTAGAATCTCTCTCTTTCATTCATTTCAGCTTTGGCTTCTTAGGGCTTACAGATTGCTCTTTGTACCTGTACAGGCAGCAAAATGGATCACTCTACTTTTCCCAAATAAATGCAGTAAAGAACCCAGGGACCTTTCTGCCTGTCTGTTACCAGGATTCAGTGTTCAGTTCTGGCCCAATGTGACCTGTGACTCTAAACATCTGCTCTAATGATTAATGCCACTGAGGCCCCAGAGAAATATGTATTTCTCCAAATCTTGCCCGGTGTTCTTGAATCAAAAGGCAGCATCATCCAAATGCTGTGAAAGTTTGTGGGTTATTCTGGTGACAGCAAAGACAGCCCTTGCTGTAAACCAGGGGAGAATTAGAACCATGGAAAGAATAAAAAAATTGTCCAATTTTTCTTCTTAATGACATTGAAATAGATTCTTACGTAATGAAATATTCTTCAAGAGCGCCAAGCACTAACCTCCTCTCGTGTTCCAATTTGTGATTTCAGAGGTATTCACAAAGAAGGCAGTGCTCTCCGCAGTGCATATGGCAGCTGAGGAGCAGTTTTCAATGTTGAACAATTTGCATTCTTTATTTACATACATGTAAGTCTAAATATATGTGTGAAGCACAATACCAATCTTTACCTGGGTAACTCAATGGACACCAAATTCTAGGATTGTAAATATTCTTAGTCTTGTAAATATATTTCATAAGGTTTTAGTAGCTTTTTGAGATATAATTTAGACACTGCACAATTCACTCATTGAATGTGTATAATTCAATGGTTTTGTGCATCTATCATCACAATCTTAGAACATTTTCATCATCCACCAAAGAAACCCTGCTCCCCTCAACTGCCATCCCCAATCCCTTCATCCCTGCACCCAAACCCTTGGCAACTTCACAGCTACTTGCTGGCTCTATGGATTTGCCTATTTTTGACATTTCATATAAATGGAATGATAATTATATGGCCTTTTGTGACTGGATTCTTTCATTTAGTATCATGTTTCCAAGGTTCATCCATGTTGTAGCATGCATCAGTACTTCATTCCTTTTGATTGCCTAATAATATTCCATTGTATGAATAGACCATATTTTGTTAATCCATTCATCAATTGATAGGCATTTAGATTATTTTCACTTTTTGGCTATTATGAATAATGCTGTATGAACATTCATGTACAAGTTTTGGGGGTCTTTGTGGACATATGTTTTCATTTCTTTTGGGTACATATCTAGGAGCAATTTGTCAGTAAGATTTAATTATATTTTCAAAAATTTAAAATAGGAAAATTTAGCTTTATTTAACTAATTTGGACTTAAACATCTGATATTCATTAATTATAACTTGATCTTATCTTTATTTTTAATAGATAATTTTAACTATCTTGAGGAAATAACATTTTGAAAATATAAGCATTAAGTGTAATTTTATTTTAATTTGATTCTAGTAAAAATACATTTAAATTGTGTTTGCTTTGAATCTAATATTCTTTTTTAATTCTTGAGATTATTACTGTTAGTAGACTGTAAGTTATATGAATATCTTAATTATATCAACATAATTAGTGATTTTGCTGAAAAAGGCAAAAAAAGAAATTATATGTAATAAATGTGCAATTATTTTTACTTGATTATATGTATCGTATTATGCACCAAAAAATGCCAGCCCACCAACACAACACAGAAGCATGAGCAAATATTTAAATTCTGTCACTTAAAATACAGTCATATAAAAACTATAGATTTATATGCATATTTCCATTTTGTTGTCATTATACTATGTTTTTATGAAAATGCATTTGTCAAGATAGGAAAATAGCACAAATGTTATTTTTTAGTTTGTTAGCTTGATTTATAACTTCTAAAATATTTAGATATCTGATATGTGGACCTCTACTTCTACTCTTGAAACACAACTGTGGGATGTAGAGGCAGACCTAATGTTGGGTACCTACATGAAGATCAATGAATACTAATTGATTGATTTGTCCAGAACTGGAACAAGAGAAAGAGGTTTAAAAAAGAATATTAAAGAATTTTTAATTTCCTTAAGCCCCATGCTTCAGTCTCATGGAGAGGCATTTGGGTTCAATTACCCTGACTGGGGTGGACAGGTGCAGCTGATTGGTTGTGGGACCACACGTAACTTCTAATTCACACTAGCAAAAGTCATGTAATTAAATCCCCCATGTCAAACTTCTCTAGTTAGGGTCTCATTGCCAATTCTATGGAATTCTGCCTGCCACTCTAAGAAGTAAATTGCCTATTGAGCATTACTAATTATTTTACTTTCCATTCATGTACTTAGGAAGCCCTCTGGTCCTGTTGACTCAAGAGAATGTGAAAATTGGTTTTCTATTTTTATCTTTCTCTATATAAATTGCAGTCAGAAACTCTGTATTACCATTAGATAGCTAACAAAGATATACTGAGTAAACATTTTGATTGAGTACTATACTGGCTCTATGCAGGGCATTAGGAAGTAGGGAATACAATAAAGTAGGAGACATAGCACAATGAACAGCTGACATTTTGTAGGATCTTATTACTCTTTCTACTTGGAAGAAATCCATTGTATCAAACCACTCAGTGGCATGCAGCTATATGCATTTATAACCATTCTCATCAGTCTGTGGTTCAGCTGGGGCAGCTGTCTCGACTATGGGACTGCAAGTAGGCTTGGGTGACTCTGCTCCATAGATGTTCATTCTGGGGTCCAGGCAGATAGGGCAGCTGCTTCTCATGGCATATTCTTCCCATGACAATGGCAGAAGCACAGAGGGCAAAACCCATTATGAATAGGTTGCTCAGCCAAGCCCATGATGGAAAGGAAAGAAAAGCAAATGTTGTGGAACAAAAATCCAAATTTTCACAACCCCTGCGTTCTCCACCCCCCACTTCAAGAGCTTAAAGAGGGAAGACAATCCAGTCCCTGGCCCTTGCCCTGGCCTGGTCACTAGGCAATACAGAGGGAATGGCTCCAAGAAGGAGGAACAGTGAGAGACATCACTTAGTCAGCAATGATACAATAAAATCCTCGGGGAAGGTAGTCATGTTATCAATAGCTTTATCATCAGATTATTCCTCAGAATAGGTACCTTGGCTATATTCTCCTTTGCCTAACCTTCCTCTAGTCTTCTGGTTTTCTGAGCCTAGTCCTACAGCCTTCTAGATGATTCTGGTATTGACCCAGTTACTTGTTTTATCCTTTATAGCTAAAGATCGTTTTTGTTGTTTGCAACCAAGAAAGCTAACTAGTGCCAGTAGGCATAATATTCTGCCCCAGAAAAATATTCTGTAGGTTGAGGAAACAATATTCTGAAAGAAAACTCCTGAGCAGTGCGGCACGGCAAGATGGCGGACAAAGAGAAGAAGAAGGAGAGCATCTTGGACCTGTCCAAGTACATCGACAAGACGATTTGGGTGAAGTTTCAGGGAGGCCGCAAAGCCAGTGGAATCCTGAAAGGGTTTGACCCACTCCTCAACCTTGTGCTTGATGGCACCATCGAATACATGAGAGATCCTGAAGACCAATACAAGCTTACAGAGGACACCCGCCAGCTGGGCCTGGTGGTGTGCAGGGGCACCTCAGTGGTGCTCATCTGCCCGCAGGATGGCATGGAGGCCATTCCCAACCCCTTCATCCAGCAGCAGGAGTCCTAGCAGGCAGGGAGGGCACAAACACGGATGCCGTCAGACTTGAGGTTGTCCCTCCTGCCTTAAATGCTGCCCACAGAAATGGAACTTCCTTTTTGTATAGGTTATTTTTTGTTTTCTTAATAAAATTGCAAATCTCTCATTAAAAAAAGAAAACTCTTGAACAAAATTGTGCATGCACTAATATTCTAGGGAGCAAAATAATGAAATTTCGATCATAGTAGCAGTTATTTCAAGTCTCAACACTGGCGCCTCCTTGCTGTGTGACTTTGTGTATATGACTTCTCTAAATGTTGTTTTCCTTATCTAGAAATAAGAACAACACTGCCTACCTCACTAGGTCTTTGTAAGCATAAAACATTGATTGGATGTTTAAGTCTCCTAGCTTAGTATTGATTATACAGTAGATATTTAATAACAAGTAGTTACTACTTTTGCCATGATAAGGCATTATTCAGAGTGGAGTAAGCTTCCTGGAGGGAGGGGACTTTGAATACAGTCTTAAAGAAAATTGGAGTCATGACTGATGAAAGGAAATAGAGGAGCATTCCAGAAAAATGTATAAGTAAAAGCCTAAGTACAGGAGCAAGACTTGGCAAGTTATATGTGAGAGATGTGGAGGAGACTGTTCAGAAGGGGTTTATTTGCATGGGAAGGAAAAACAAGTTATAAAGCAAGAGAGGATCTGATGCTAGATAGAAGCCAAGAATCACAGACAGGTTAAATGTCATGATTTGGTCAGAGGGAGTCCTAACAGACTTTTAGGCTGATGGAAAACACTGTGGTACATTTATACAACGGAATACTACTCAGCCATAAAAAAAAAGGAAATCTTACTTTTTGAAACAGCATGGCTGGACGTAGAGGGTATTGCGCTAAGTGAAATAAGCGTGGCTGGGTGAAAAGGGTGAAGGGATTAAGTAGTACAAATTGGTAGTTGCAGAATAGCCACAGAGATGCAGAGCAGCATGGAGAATATAGTCAATAATGTGGAGATAACGGGACTTGGGGGCCAAGTGGGTGCTTGGGGCAGCAGGGGGACCACTCTGTAGAGTGAATGGTTTTCTGAGCACTTTGCTGTACATCTGAAACTGGTGAAGAATGGTATTGATTGTAAACTGTGATTGAAAAAAAAATACACATGTGTAGAAGGCAAGGTTATACTTACAGGGTGGGGCAAAAGTAGGTTTACAGTTGTGAGTACGGGAAACAGAGTTTATTCTCATATTATTTTCCATATGAACAACTGTAAACCTCCTTTTGCCCCACCCTGTATTTGAAAAGTATTCTGGGGGTTATGTGTGGGAACCTGTCCTCTGCGAGACGTTGACTCACAAAAGCTTGTGGTGTGATTCCAGTCCGAGTCCAAAGGCTTAAGCTCCAGTGGAGCCCATGGCATAAATCCCTGTCCAAGGGCAGGAGAAGGCTGGTGTCCCAACTCAGGTAGACAGGCAGGAAAGGAATGTATGGTTCCTTCCTCTACTCTCTGTTCTATTCAGATCCTCCAAGGTTGGCATGATGCTCACCCACACTGGAGGGTGGGGTGGGGGTGGAGGGATCAATCTACTTTACTGTGTCCACCGATTCAAATCCTCATCTCATCCAGACACACCCAGAAATAATGTTTAATCTGGGCATCCCATGGCCTACTCAAGCTGACAGGTCAAGTTAACCACCACACATATCCTACATTTCACAATTTTTAAGTATGCACTGTTTTTAGCATATTCACAAGGATGTGCAACAATCACCATTCTCTAACTCCAGGACATTTTCATCCTGCCTAAAAGAAATGCCGCACCTGCTAGTGGTCACTCCTTTCCCTTGCCCCTGCAGCCCCTGGAAACCACTAACCAACCTCTGTCTCTATGGATTTGCTTTTCTGGACATTTCCTATTAATGGAACCATACAAGATGTGGCCTTCTTTGTCTCAGTTCTTTCACTTAACAGTATTTTCAAGATGTTTCCATATTTCAACAGATATCAGTACTTCATTCCTTTCTATGGCCAAATAATGTCTCATTATATGGCTATACCACACTTATTTATCTTTTACCAGTTAATTTAGGTTGTTCCCATATTTTTATAATTATGAATAATGCTGCTATGAAATTTGTGTTCAAGTTTTGGTATGTGTACAAGTTTTGCTCATATGTTTTTAATTCTTGTGGGTATATACCTGCCAGTGAAATTGCCGGCCCTTATGGTAAGTTACTATGTTTAACCACCGGAGGAGCTGCCCAAACTGTTTCCTACACCATTTTACATTCCACCAACAATTTATAAAGTTTCCACTTACTTCACATTCTCACCAACACTTGCTATTTTTTGTCTTTATAGTCATCCTAGTGGGTGTTAAGTAGTACCATTTAGACCTTATTGTGTTTTTAAGTTGCATTTCCTTAACGATAAATGTTTTAAAACATCTTTTTATCTATTTATTGGCTATTTGTGTATCTTTGGAGAAATGTTTGTTCAAATCCTTTGCTCATAATAATGATATTTTTGCCACTCCATAAGACTTATTCTAAGATCATTGCTACAGAATGCTATACTTAATATCTGTTTAGGGTACAATCTGCACGGTGTAAATCAGAAAATTCGGAGGTTTCCAAGGTTTGTAAGGAACTACAGTGATGCCTCTTGCATTTTGTTTGGTCTGCAAGTGTGCGATCAAGAAATTTAAACTGCACTCGGGAGCTATTTCTCTTCTCGCTCCTTCTTCCTCTTTAGTGTTCATGTTCCTTGACTGTAATTGACATTAACACTTTGGATTTATTTTTTTAACCTTCTTTCATTTAATATCAAGGACAAACTGAATAGAATTCTCTACAAAAGTTAATTAATTTAACTTTATTTGAACCCTCTTACAAATGGAGCTTAGTACTTCCAAATTAGTGCTATCGAAGTAAACTACACAAGGATTTTTTTAAGTAGCTGTAAAATAAAGAAGTTGGACTAAATTATCTTACACTTTTCTTTCACCTTTAACATTCTAACATAGTTGGTTATTAACTGAGATGGGATGTGAACCTGGGAATGCTAACTTAAGCCCCCTTCCCTAGTCAATGCCATTTTTCTTTGATGAAGTAACATTCACAAAGTGAGTCTTAACTGGTCCCTTGGAGGCTGAAAACTCTGGAAACATAAGAAATAGGTCATAAAAGGAAAGGTTCAGAAACTAATGTACGCACTTAAGAGAGTGGTCATAGTAATTACTCGGTGGGTGAAGGGTACTTACAGATAAAAGTCATGATGAAAAAATGCAAACCAGATGGTGATTAGGCAGTGGGGTGAACTACTCCTTGGAAACCAATGGGATTTGGACTGAGACATTTTCTGAGAAGTCCAAAATGTTAAGGGAAACCTTGACATTAGATTAAAAAGAAGTATGTGGAAAATGTATCCATTTGAAACCTGCTTCCATCTAGCTATTAGGATGGGATCAAATAAAACTGAACATAGAATCGGGAGGGAATGGAAGCCAGTGTAGTGCTACGAGCTGAAGGTAAAAGGGGCTTAGAATCACTGAATAGTTTGGTGCCTTAAATGCGAGGCTTGCTCTCAACACATTTCGGACATTCTCTTGGGACTATTTGGGAGAGAAGGACTAAAAAGAACGAGGGAGTTGAGTTTGAATTTATTGGACGTGTTTTGTGCTTAGCATTTTTTCTAGGGTCCTTGGGCTATTTGGGCTCTGGACCAAAGGAGCTTAAAATCTTATTTCTATAGGGAAGCCTTTAGCAAGCAGAATAAGGCAGTGTATAATAAAATGTTAAACTGTCTTATTGTGCTTTGCTCTAGTGCACTTTACAAATGTGTGTGTAGTTGAGTTTGAATTTATTGGACGTGTTTTGTGCTTAGCATTTTTTCTAGGGTCCTTGGGCTATTTGGGCTCTGGACCAAAGGAGCTTAAAATCTTATTTCTATAGGGAAGCCTTTAGCAAGCAGAATAAGGCAGTGTATAATAAAATGTTAAACTGTCTTATTGTGCTTTGCTCTAGTGCACTTTTCAAATGTGTGTTTTTTTTGCAAATTGAAGGCAAGACCTTCCACCAGCAAAAAGATTGCCACTTGCTTTATTGCAATACTTGCTGTATTGCGGTGGTCTGGAACCGAACCTGCAATGTCTCCGAGGTATGTCTGTGTATGAATTGCATGCTATGGAAGTCAGAGTACAGTGATTGAGTCACATCAGAACAATCAGACTCAGGAAGAGCATCCAGGAATGGTGACCTAGGACATGAACTTGAAGATGAGTGGACTTCAATCAAAGGAAGGGAAGAGAAGAAGGCATTCTATCTAAAGGGCTTGTATGAGGGAAGATTTGGTGTTGGGATGGACATTATGTGTTCAGGGAATGAAAAACAGACTTCTGTTATTGGAATGGAATACCTTATTAGATGTGAGAAAGCAAAAGTGCTAATTACCTTGAGTGGGCCTTGCATATGAGATGTAAAAGTTTTTGTTTTTAAAAGACTAAAAGAGCAGCCCCGGCTGGATAGCTCAGTTGGTTAGAGCATCATCCCAATATGCCAAGGTTACAGGTGCAATCTCTAGTCAGGGCACATGCTCAGGTTGCCAGCTTGATTCCCAGTAGAGGGTGTGCAGGAAGCAGCAGTGTTTCTCTCTCATCAATGTTTCTCTCTCTCCCCCTTCCTTTTTCTTGCTCTCTCTAAAAATCAATAAAAACATATTTTAAAATTTAACAGGTAGGTAATAGACTGAGAAAAGTTATTTGCATCATCACAACAACAAGGAATAAATATCTAGAATTTACAAATAACTCTTATAAAGCAAGCCAGCAAGCAAACCAAGTTGAAAAATGAACAACAACAAAAAAGATAAACTGGAAATTTACAGAAGAGAAGGTCATCCTGAAATGACTAGCATGAAAGGAGATGCTCAAATTACCTTAGTAAGCAGAGAACTGCAATTGGAAATAATAAAAAAAAATACCACTTCACAACAACAATGGCAAAGCTAAAAATATGAATAATAGTAAGTGTTGGTGAGGATGT